TTTTTTTTGTATTTTAGGGAAAGGTCTACAGGGTGTTCAGGGTCTCACTACTAGATCGGACTCGAAATGATCCTCCTATTTATAGCTTCCCAGGAGCTGAGATTGGGGCCAGGGAGATGGCTCAGTAGAGTAAGCGCTTGCCTGGCAAGCGCAAGGGCCTGAGTTCAATCCCAAGTTCCACCAAAAAAAAAAAAAAAAAAACTGGGATTACAGGTGCGTGCCACCACTCTGAGTCACGCCTAGTCTTAATTGCCATTGCAGACCCAGGGATTGTGCCCCGGCCCCTGCGCCTGCTTACAGACGCTTTAATCTGCTGAGCTATTTGGCCTGCCCTGGATTTTTTCTATAAATGTTGTCATTTTAAAAGTTTTTGATATATTTTTCATGACAAAATAGTGTTGAAACCCAGTGCCTCACATACAGAGCACTTTGTGTGGGTGTTTTTTGTTTTTTTTCTTTCTTTCTCTCTCTCTCTCTTTTTTTTTTTTGGTGTTCATGTATTTAGTACAGGGTGTACAGGGTCTCACTACATAGATGGGTCTCCTAGTGATTCTTGTTTTCAGCCTCCCAAGCGCTGGGATTACAGGTGCACGCCACCATGCCCAGTCTCAATGACTGTCTCAGCACGCTGTGGGGGTGGGGCCGGCACGGCATGCCAGGAGTCGAACCCCAGCTGCTGTGCCTTGCTTAAGTAGGTGCTTTAGTCCGCTGAGCTATCTCGCCGGCCATGTGTTTTTATTTCTGAGGATGTGACTCATTACCATAAGGCTATTAATGGAAAATAGGTGCTTTTTTACTTACAATAACTTGATGCAGTCAAATGATAAATACTGTCTATGCGGAATGTCTGTGAAGGCCATGTTTAGCAAAAAAAAAAAAAAAAAAGTTGCTAGTTTTTGTAATCACGAAATGTGGCTTGTCCCCTTAATGAGTAAGAACTAAGAGCCACTTAGCGCATTTGGAAAGCTTGGCTGTTTCTCTGTGAATTACTGGCTGATAGGACAGAAAATCAGGAGGGACGGTTCATGCAGCATGTCATTCACAATGAGCAATAAGCTTGTGCTCTAAGTAGAATAAAAAGAGAAAATGAAATCTCCCCATGTTTCAGTAGATAAACTCTGGTACTTGGCATTGCATTTGGATGTTGGTCTCATGTTACTCTAGGCTTGCAGCATCAATTCTTCATCTTAGATTCACCATCAGCGGGGAAGGAGGTTCGGGGGAGGAGCCCTGCAGTAGATGGAATTGGATGGGGCGTGCCTTCCACCCTCACTGTGACACACCCATGCATGACATTACTAATATCCTGCTCATCTCTCTAACCAATAAATGTGGAAGTAGAAGTCTAACCATCTAGGCGAGAACGCTTCAGAGTATTAATGTGCCTGAGGAGAGGCTATCACACTGTGAAAAGGAAAGAGAGTATTATTGCAAAATCACTGTGTTACATTCTTAGCTGTCCCAGACTCATCCCAAGTCCTTGTGGCTGGGGCTGCCTTGCAGCCGTCTTCCTGATCTTCTAGGTGTGATTAGTAGTTAGAAAGTTGGATTTCCTTGTGACCCTGGATGAAGTGAGTTGCCTTTCTGAGGCTCTTGGAAATGTTAATTTCATCTTGATTACTTTACATCGATACTGCTAACAGTTCAAACAGTTTGTCTTTTAAATAAGTATATTTCATATTGGCATGCTTTCATTATCTTTATGAAAGCGGTTAGAGTGTGAAATAATGGTGAGAATCTCTGTAACATACAGCTAACATTCAACTTGCAGCACTCTGGCTGCATCAATGTTTTCCTCATAGTCTGAATGTTCTGCTATGGCCTGTCCCAAGTCCCACTGGGCTTTTCCATGTGTGTCTTCTAATCTGCAAGTACAGCAGTGGAGCTATGATTCCATCAGCAGGAACAACACATGTAAAAAGCCCATAGAATACAGTCAAGAGCGAGAAGGGGCTCAGCAGACTTGGAGGAAATCCTGCCTCCAATCAACAATCCAGCAGGCTGCAAGTCAGACTCAAGTCCCTATCGGGTGAGGAACTTTACAGTCAGCCATGCGGGCTTCCCTCAAGCACACAGGGTATTGTCTATTTTCCTTCCCCACTCAATGAGCAGAACAAGGAGCAGCTTTATTTTTGCCAGGGAGTTGTGGTTTGTATGGACTGTCAGTTGGGATATGCTGGCTGTCATATAGAACCATCCTTCTTAGGAAGCTAAGTCAAAAACTCATAAGTTGTTTCTGAGAGACCCCACATCTGACTTTGCCTGATTGCTCTGTGGCATCTGTTGGGTGGTTGCCTGGGAAGGACATGGGGGACCTCAATGCCCAGGAAGGTGATGATGCAGAACAAAGTGAGCAAAGACAAGAGTGTGATTTTTGTCAGGGGCAGTTTCTTTTTCTTTTCTTTCTTCTTTTTTTTTTTTTTGTATTTTAGGGAAGGGTCTACAAGGTATTCAGAGTCTCACTACTAGATCGTACTCTAGTGATCCGCCTGTTAACAGCCTCCCAAGAGCTGGGATTACAGGCACACACCACCATGCCCAGTCTCAGTTGCCTTCTCAGCACGCCCCAGGGGCTGGGGCCAGCACATCAGGCTTTGGGATGGAACCTCCAGCCCCTGAGCTTGCTTGCAGGTGCTTTAATCCACTGAGCTATTTGGCTGGTCCTTGGGACTGCCTTTTAAACCACATTTTCAAGCCCCTTAATGTAGGGTACATATCTGTACATATAATTCATGTTTTAGTGAAGAATGAAAAGTACCCCTGCTCCAATAATTCCCATAGCACATTGAGAGTTTGTAGACAGTGATCAAAAATGACATGCTGTATGAAGTAGGGACTTCGATGTCAAAGTGCACTGCATTTGGGGCAGTGTACCGTGAGGAAATACGCACGTGTATCAGTGGAAGACATGAGTTTTCTGTGTGGGACTGAACAAGAAGAAGTATATATAATGTAGGAAAGGGGAGGAAGAAGGAAGATAGTATAGTCAGCTCCTAAACCAGGATTTTCCCCTGAAGATGTTTTACTGGAAACTACCCTATGCCTTTCACTCTGAGTGAAATCCAGCCTGTTTTATATTTTTGGTATTATTATTTCGAATTTTCATGCTGGGTCTTGCCATGAAGCTCACACTTAGCCTGACATTCTTATCACATATGGTGGATCATGAAGCACAATATGAAGAATGTTGAAAGTGTTTTTTCATCACCTCTGGGGCTCGGGAGATAGCTCAGTGGTCTAAGCGCCTGCTGTGCAAGTGTAAGAACCCAGGTTTGATCCCTGATACCACGAGCTGTGCTGGCCCTGCACCAAGCCAGCCATTGAAACTGGGTGTGGTGGTGCTACGAGTAGCAAGAACCTGCACCACATAAATAAATAAAGATTTTTAAAAATTCAAAAAAAAAAAATGGGTGAGGGTGATTCTGAAAGACTTCCTTTGAAACTTGATGCCTAAATAATTATCAATTTGAGATTAATTGTACGTGTAGTATAATTTTTAGGTAAAATTTCCCTAGATTCTGAAGGAGAGAATCTGATTATCATACTTTTCTGCACCCGAGGAATGCACTTCTGTTTTTAATCATAAATCACTTTGAGGCAAAATATTTATTTTTATTAGTAGTGTGACAGCATGCCACATTTTCAGAACTTCAGGATGATGATTTACAGTGAGAAATGTTACATGTCTTGGACAGCAATCTTCAAGCAGCATGCTACAATTGTGCTATGAGTTTGTCAACATTATGGGGGATGCATTGATTTTGGCAATACCATTTTTTTTCATTTATGTACTCGGTACAGGGTCTCACTATGCAGAGTAGACTCAATGATCCTCCTGTTTTCAGCCTCCCCAGCTCTGGGATTACAGGCATGCACCACCACTCCCAGACTCTGTCCTGGCTCAGCACGCCCTGGCGACGGGGCCAGCATGGCATGTGAGATCAGGGATTGAATCACTTGCCAAAGCAGGTGCTTAGTCTGCT